TATCCACTGCCATCAATGATTCATGGCCTGTGCCCCCCCACCATTGCCCCGCATGCCAGCTGCCACCCCCCGCCCGCTATAATCCAATTGCTTAGAATGAAAGCATATTATACCCCCGGCTCCTGGGAAAGTCAAGCCCCTGGGGGGGGCTCACAGCGCTGGCGGGGAGGGGATAACCCAATAGACTTGGCCGCCTCCTTCCTGCCGGCCACATACCACCTGTCCCGGCCCCCCCACCCCAGAGAGCGGAGCTGAGCAGGGATGGGGAGGGAGGGGGCAGGACGCCTGGGGTCTAGCGGTAGGTCTGGGGTCGGGGGGGATCCAGCCCGGCCCTGGGACAGCTGCACTCACCTGCAGGATGTGGCCCCCCAGGTGTTGTTCGAAGAGCTCAGTCAGCAGCACGGCCATGTTCCTCCTGCCCGGAGCCCCCAGCCCTGTGGGAGAGGGCAGAGGTGGTCAGGGCAGCAGCTCCCGTGGGTGTGGGATGCGTGGGCAAAGTGGGGTGGGGGGGTATCAAACACACCTGCCTCCACGGGCTGGATCTAGACATGGTGGCAGAGGTGGGATGGGTGGCAGTGCAGGGGGTTAATACAGACACTAATACCACCCTGTCCTGCACACGCTTGTACCTAGCGGGGCACTTGGGACTTCCTTGCTAATTGCCCCACAGCCCTGCCCCTGCCCCTCTGGCATCAACCAGCGCAAGTCCATCGCACGCTGCGGCTCTGGGGACTGTGACGGCCAGACGTGCCCTGGGGATGAGCAGCCGGGCACTGCGATCAGGGCTGTCCTGGGACAGGGACAAGGAACTGTGCCCGTCTCCGTGCCAGGCAGTGAATCGTGGCACCGTAGAGCCGCGGGGCTGGAAGGGACCCCTCGCAGGTCGCCTGCCCCGGCCTGAGGCAGGATCAGCCCCATCAAAACCAGTCCAGACAAACCCAGCATCAAACCTCTGAGCAAAACCACCGCCAGCCTTGACACCGCACCGGGCATCGCCCCTGCCCCTGGGATACAGGGGGGCCGTGGGGGGCAACATCCTGCTGCTGCCAGGGGGGTCATGGGCACTGCAGGGAGCCCAGGCTGAGGCCGTGCCCCCACTGCAGGGGAAGGCAAAACCCCCCAGTCTGCACCAGTTTGAGGAGGGAGGAATCCCTTCCTGCCCCAGTGCAGTGTCGGGCTGAGCCTGAGCCGGGGGCAAGACGCACACACACACACACACACACACACACACGTTACCCCCCACCCCCACGAGAGCCGCCCCGCCCCGCTCCGCTCAGCCCAGGCCGGGGGCCCCGCCATTGTCCTCGCAGCGCCGCGGCCGACGGCATCTGCATGCTGATCAGGGCGGCTTTCACGGCGCCCCGGCCGGTCTGAAAGGTTCACAGGCCCCGGGTAACCTCCTTCCTTTCAGGCCTTTCTCCTGGCGGGCGCCGCGGCCGGAGACTAAGGAAAGACGCAGCGGTGGGGGGGCCCAGCGCAGCCACAGGAGACTGAACATGGGGGCGGGGGCTGCACCTCCACCCCCTCTCCCGGGTTAAAACCAGCCTGGTTTCCCTCCCCACCCCCCGGACGGCCACACCGGGTCCAGAGCAGCCGAGGACCAGGGCGCAGTCCAAGCCAGAGCCGAGCCATGGGGGGCGAGTCGCCCCCACGGGACATTCGTGCCCCAAACAGAGTGTTTTGAGCCATCGGTTGCTGCCAAAACCAGTCCCCGGGGCAGAGAAGCCGGCAGCGTTTCGCCGAGACCACGGCTCCCGTGTGCCATATTTCCCCGCGTGCCACGCACCGCTCCCTCCCTACCACCACTATGCCCTGTGCCATATTTCACTGCATACCATGCGCTGCCCCCTCAATACCCCACGGCTCCTGTGTACCGTATTTCACCATATACCACGTGTGGCCCCCTGGAGACCCCGCAATACCCCCACATCGCCCACGTACTGTATTTCACCCCAGGCTGCAAACTGGCAGGGCTCCTGGCTCCCTGCCTGCTCCCCCCGCGAGGCCGGCAAGCGTTCAGGGGATCGACCCCGCTGTTCCTGCCAGTCTTTGCCCAGAGGAGTTACCCCGGGGTACGCCCCAGTGTGGCTGCAGATACACCGGGTTAAAGGGAGGTCGCCTCCACCCCATGGAGTTCGGGGAGTGGAAGCAGGCCCCGCCTTCCCATACGTGTCACATCCTGGAAATGAGGTGATGTCACCACAAATCTCGACTGCATCACTGAAATTGCAGCTTTGCTGAACAGGCAG